GGAAAAAAGCACAGCAGTGATATAGTTTAAATGGGAGATTGACCTAGGTTTAATTTCTAAAGAAAGACTATGTGTGAATGCCTCTTTAATAATAAATGTTTATGTCCCTGCATTTTTATTAAAATATATTTAATATATTAAAAATCCTCCAAAATAACTTACCATATTCACATTAAAATAGTCATCTCATTCACACTTTTGTAAAAAAAAAATACACATTATGAAATTTATGTCCTACATTTTATATAAACAATTATTATTTATTTATTGTATTTCATTAATGTGGTCTGAGTTTTTCATTTCATCCCTTAAAATATTTAATGATTTTAAAACTAGACTTTACTGATTGTAGTATTACTATTCCTTCTGATTTTCTGTTCTGAGGTTATGTGTGTGACTCTTGTGTCCAGACTTAGAGAATCTACCCTTTTTGTGACAAGATAGCATTTTTATTCTCAACATGTGCATTGGATGAACAAAAGAAATCAGTGACCTAGAAAGCAATTCTTGAATGTTGCGTGTACAGTCAGTAATCTACCCCTTTGGCTTTCAGTGGACACTGAATGCTCTTTGTTCCTTAGTATGGATAGAAAGAATTGGGCTTCCATAGTTTCACAAAGGAAAGCAACAATTTAAAAGGAGGAATACTGGCTTATGTTCCCTCCTCCTCTCTGAAGCTTTCTCTTTCTTCTGTTTTACCGTTTATCTAATGTATTTAAGAGATTGAAGTCCACTGGTTGCTATAATAATGTATCTTAATTTGTTTTATTATTGAGAACTATCTCTGTGATACTTTTGTCCCTGGAATGTGATAACACAATACATTGACTATGATGTTGACTGATTTTTTTCTAAATTTATTTTCCCGCCTCTTCCTAGCAGCCCATGGTTAAACCAGAACTCAATGTTTATTGCCAAATAAAGCTGTTCAGCACATTTTAGATGTTTTTTAATCGGAGGTGGAGGGGTTGTCCGTGATTATATCACTTGTAAGTAGTTCTGGTAGGGATACTATCAAGATAGTAATCAGATTTAACCTCTTCATTCCAGACGCTTTCCTCAAGAAATGAGCATAATGGGGAGAAAAAGACTTGTATAACAGGGAAATTAATGTGGATGTGGGAGAGCTAGTAAGCTGTCTTTAGATTTAAATAAGAAGCTAGTAGATTTCAACCAGATTCTTTATTCAAAAGGACTGTCAAAATTTCAACTGCTGTGGCCGTCTTATTTTCCATTTTCTCTTCCTGTCTCTTGTATCCAAACTCCCTCTAGTGTTCTGCTCTGTATGTGTATTTATAATGCTAATTTAATACAGAGGTGCAATAATGGGAGCAGCTGTAATTAAGAGGAAGCCCTGCAGAGTTTCCTTAGAGGGAGACTCAGAGTTATCTAGTGAGCATGTGATTAAAAGGTTACAGTGTTTTTTTTTTTTAACTTCTGAAATCTTTTGGGCTTTGAGAAGATAATTACATGCCATAAAAGGGGCATGTCAGAACTAGAATGAAACAAACAGCTCAATGGTGGTGGTGTATGCATTTGTAGAATATTCAATTATCATTACTTTTAGGATTTGTGTTATTACTTTTTGCATTCCCACCCGTTTACCTGATTGGGGAATCTTGGGGCATGCCTCAGCGTGGAAACCAACTTCTGTTGATTCCAGAAAGGCTACATTTTCCAGATTCACAAAATCATTCAGGCAAACTTGGCACTTATCTTGCTTAGCAAGATGGGTGGGGAGAAGAGGAAGAACACACTCAGATTGAGGAGCAGCTTATTCCAGTAACCAAGGTAGCAGTCCCTAGTACATGTCCCTTACCAGACTATTACAAGACTTTCCAAGAACTGCTGCACTGAATGGTGAATGCCCTTGAGATTCTAGTGGAAATTGTGCAAGAAAAATCACTTGGACTACTTGACATTTTATATACCGTAATGCCTAGAAGATTGGCCATTAGATTTATTTGGCAGGAAGAGCTGTTCTTCCTCAAATTTACAAATGTGTAGTACTGTTTATTAGGTCCTCTTAAATTGGGAGAAAATATATTGGAATTTCAGTGGTGGAGACTCACTCTATAGCTGTTCTGTGTACATCCCAAAGTAACAAATCTGACATGTTAGTCAAAAGCCACTTGGAGCATTTAGCACAGTGTTTCACAAACTTTTTTTATAAAGTACCCCCAGTACCTATAGTTTTCAGACGCACACAATTTTTTTCTACCATTGCAACACATTTGTTTAAACAACTTAATTGTAGCTGGGTGGGCGATGAAATTTTTGGGTGTAAAAAGTAAAAAATAATAAAGCGCTGTAAAACTTAAAACAAAAATTCAGTTTTCTCCAAATTTTAGTTGTGTTGATGTACCCCCCAGGTGTCTCTTGAGTACCCCTTAAGGTACTCGTACTGCTGGTTGAGAAACACTGATTTAACAGATCTATTTACTTTTTCTATTTCTCTTCCTTTCTTTTGGCAGTTGCCATTTTCTCTTTCCTTTCTGTCTCTTGTATCCAAACTCCCTCTAGTGTTCTGCTCTGTATGTGTATTTATAATGCTAATTTAATACAACATAGTGACTTGAAATCACATCACCGTGGAATCTTAGGAATCATCAGAATGTGAGTGTTCCATTCAGTTTCAGAACCTTCCTAACACTTATTCCTCTTCCTTATCCCTTTAGGGGTCCCTTGAGAGATTATTAAATGTGCTGTGTCAGACTCTACAACAGCAAGAGTTTAAGTGCCCCCAAAACAGAGTCTTTACCATAGTAGGCCTCATCAACCAGCTGCATGTTCACCATTAGATGTGAGAGTTTGCCTTGGTTTTCTTGATCACATTGTTTCCTATATTTACATCACACGGTATGCAAGACTACACCTACCTTACAAATACAGTTGAAAATGGTGTATCTACCAAATATCACATGAACATGGGGGTATTGATCCCCTGAATACTCTAATAGTTAAACGTGTAAAAGTACTTTTTACGGGTATGTAAAGGGGATACTGTTTTTTCCACTTGTCACCAAAGCACTGCTAATAGACACTTGTGTGCTTGGTTACAGAGCTCTGCACCACTTTCAAACCCAGGGTCTATGGTCTCCTGAAAAGAATCACCTTGATATAAGGATCAGGCAGTATCTACCCAAAGATCACCTTGATATAAGGATCAGGCAGTATCTATCCAAAGATCATACAGAGCTCTGCACCACTTTCAAACCCAGGGTCTATGGTCTCCTGAAAAGAATCACCTTGATATAAGGATCAGGCAGTATCTACCCAAAGATCATTTAAATGGGTCTCTAATAGTATTAAATCATGCTATGAGTTGGCTAGGTTAGATTCATTCATGCAGTTTGGAACACAATCCATCAGAGCTCAGATAACCTTCCCTCGATTTTTCTGAGACGCCACAAGGAGATCAATCCACCTTTTATATAGTATAATTCACTAATAGAGGATTAGTGTTAAGGATGCTAAGAAGTAGGTAATTGACTAATCGTGTACTCGATACAATTTGTATCGAGTACATCAGTGGTCCCCAACCTTTTTGTGGCCAATAGCACATTCATGTTTTCAGAAGAGTGTGATGGGCGCCAACAAAAAAAGGCGTCAAATGTGAAATTGAAGGCTATTTTCATATTAAATGTGTTGGATAAGTTTTATTTTAATATTGTAATTCATTTTTAAAAAAATTCTGCATTAATAAAAAGGGGGGGATGTCCAAATGTTGAGCAAAAAAACCACCCTCCTCCCCAAAAATCATGGCACATTTAAATCTCACTCCCCATCCCCAGCATGTCTCCTCCGCTTGTTCCATCAGCTCCCCTAGTGCCTGCTGCCCCCAACCTCTCACCCTCCTCTGCTGTCCTGACTCCTGCCCTTCTCACTGCCCTCAGCCTTCCTGAGACCTGCCCCCCTCCACCAGCCCTTCTCTCCTCCCTGTGCCCACTCCTCCAGTAGCCCCACTCTGATCATGTGAGCTACCCCTCCTCATCCCCTCTAACACCTCCTTCTACACACCTGCCCCCCCGCCCCTCCAAAAAATCATGGCACCTTTACATTTCACACTTCCTTCCACATGGCAGGGGAAGAATGTCCCAAGTGGCTTTCCAGCTGAGAAACTGAAAATACTAGATATTTTACTGGGGGGGGGAGAGACTATAATAGAGTTTAAAGAGAAGCCAGATAATTTCATGGAGGTTAGGTCCATAAAAGGCTATTAGCCAGGGGATAAGATGGTGTCCTTGGCCTCTGTTTGTCAGAGACTGGAGAGGGATGGCAGGAGACAAATAGCTTGATCATTGTCTTCGGTCCACCTTCTCTGGGGCACCTGGTGCTGGCCACTGTCGGCAGACAGGATACTGGGCTAGATGGACCTTTGGTCTGACCCAGTACGGCCGTTCTTATGTACGTTCTTATGTTGCAACGATAGAAAAAAGTGTGCCTGAAAACTGTAGGTTCTGGGGGTACTTTATAAAAAAAAAAAAAAAAAAAAAAGGTTGAGAAACACTGTTCCAGATGGTGGAAAAAAGACAGAAAGGTTAAGTAATTGAGCCAGAGTTAGAATGTTGTGGTTCCATGTTGTCAGTCCTTGCTTTGTCCAGTAGCACATTAACTAGCAGCCCCTAGTAATGAGAATTAATATTTATAAGGCTTAAAATATAAATGTGAAAACACTTAATGATGGGTTCTCTAAGTAGCCAGCTCAGCTGCAGGCAACCACATGTGTAGGCAGTTGGGGGCAGCCTTAGTTCCATAAGGTATACAGGGACAGATGCCAAAGAGGAAGTAATTGAATATGTCTGTGATAACCTGTGATCTTTCAGACAGTTACTGAATTTTGAATGCCGAAAGGCCATTTCTACATAAGAAGCTCAAATATTAAATAACAAGAAAATAAATGTTTCTTGACACGATCATGTCAGTCTGTAATTTGTACAATAAGTGTTGCTTTCTTAAAATATATATACATATATAATTCATCTATTTTTTTTCTCCAGAGGTGGCTGGATCCAAACAAACCAATTAGGAAACAATTAAAAAGTGAGCTCATACATTTATTTGGTCTATTTCAAATATAATTTTTATCGAGTAAGGATTTAAAAGTAACCTAATTACTGCTTTTATTAATTCCAGGAGGATCTCCTTACAGTTTAAACTTCAGAGTCAAATTTTTTGTAAGTGACCCTAACAAGCTCCAAGAAGAATATACAAGGTAGGTTTAGATATTACCATTGCAAAACTCTTCTAGAAGTTTAGAAGTAGAACTAAGTATTAGCATAAAACATAATTAATTTTGAAGGCATTGATTATTGGAATTCTTTCACACTAATTAATTTTTTTTTAATGTGTGTGGAATTTTCCATAGCTGATAACTAAAATTCACATGCTGTAAGCACACAAACTACATCAGAAATTTTAAAATGGGACCTTTGAATACATATTGTAAAAATATAGTGTACATAGGAAATAATCTCACAGAGAAAACATTGTTCAGGTGGAAATAGGAAAAGGAAACGTTTAAAAAAACGTTTTTCTTTTTCTCATTTATCGGTGGGTACAAATATACTTTTAACCAATACTTGTCTTATTTCTGAAAGTTTCATATTTTCTCTGGAATTATACTAACTCTTCATTCATTTTGTATATTCGTTCCTTGATGATTTTTTTTTTACCTGCTGTCATCAGTGGCTCCAGGAGAGCTATGGGGCAGCAAGCAGGGCTGTTCTCCCTGCCTGCGCCCTGGAGCCGCTGATGTCTGCAGCCCCCC